GAGTTTTGAATAAAATTAAAAAAAATCGACCTGAAATCGACATATTCTCTACTGATACCTTCAATTTCTTTTAGAATTTTGGTTTTAAAAGTTTTACTACTAATGTAATCTACAACTCTTTTATTAACTTTTTAGACCCCTGACGCTTAAGCATTTTTAATGGTAACCATCTTTGTCTTTCTTTACTATCTATAGATTTCTTTGTCAGTTGACCTTTACCGTAAGAGTTAAATAATTATCATGGGTAATTATTACTCAGCCTCACATTGGAGGGGTTATTTAATCGAAAGTGGCAATTAGTTGAGCATAATTGGTAATTTTTAAATAAATTTTTTTCAATTTATCGAGTTTAAAATAAAAACAATTTAATGATAAATATCAGAAAATAAAGCTAAAAACTACATTTAGTGTTTCCTACCAAGACCGCTAAATCGGCCTCATTGAACACTTTAAAAGTTGCCAGTAATATACTGGATGTTTTTTAAATGAATGGACTTGTTCAGAAAATTTAAATTAGAGATAAAAGCTTAATTATGTTCTCTATTAAGCAAAATCTCCAAACCATCTAGGGATTTAACTTTGGAAATAATATCAGGCGAATAACTACAAGTCGATTCTATCTCTAATTTAAATTTCTGCCAGATATTTTTTTATGAAGCTTCACACTACCCAGTTTACAAATTCGGCTACGCACCCAGATTCACTTTTATATGGGCGAAAAGTTCCCCTTAAAATCGACGGATCCTAAGAAATATCGGATATCCAAATCACTCTAGTTCCAAATAACTAAAAAGAAGCTGGCAATCCCGATTTAAATGTACAAATTTTGAATGTTTTAAATGTCATCACTATCATTGTTTCTTCAATAATGTTTCCTTCCATCTTTCCTTCCATCTTTATATTTTTCCTGTCAAAAAAGGATTTATAATATATTGCTCAACTTTAAGTTGAACATTTTCGTCAAAAATTCTAAAGTAAGAATAGAATCGATTGTAGCTGCCATTATCTCTATATATTTTTCCTTTAATCTCTTTAGAATCCTCATCAGTTAATTCTTCGTTGTTTGCTTAAAATAATAAAAAATTACTTGGCAACCCTTGCTATTACCCAAAAATCAGAAAAAATTTGTAATTTGTATTTTCGGGAAAAATAACAACTTGCGCAAATTGTGCGCGCCCAGTTGTGTGATTTTTGGTGGTGCTCCCAATCAAGAAATATTATCCAGACCGAGAAAGGTTTGAACTGATACCGTTTTGTGTCAACTGCAATTTGTAAAAGGTTCACATTATTCCCATAAAACTTTTATGGTGACAGAGGGGGCCAAGATAAACAGGTTTAAATTGGACAACATAAACCTATGGAGCGTCGGCGAGGCGCTTGTGCGAAACCCCGCGCTTCGCGCGGGGTTTCGCGGCACGCGCCTCGCGGGGAGTCAACGGTCGCTGGGTCTGGGTCAGTAACATAAACCTATCCTATCTCCCTTACTCTGGACGTATTTGGGGCCTCCGTAGCAGCAAAAACCTCAACAATGATCATAGGTAAGGAGCTAAAACAAACGATCATAACTTTGTCAAATCAAGTCGGATTTCGGTGATTTTGTTTTCATTCGACTCAGCTTGACGAGCCGAGTCGAATGAGCTATTATTTGCATTTTCGAATTTTTCACCCCAAAATGTGCTTACTCCCCCCTTCTCTTTTTCAAACTTCAGAGGTCTGTATCTCGGTCCCTGATTGTCGGATCGACTTCTCTCTGCCCGCGATCGACTCAGTTTTCGAAGCTCTTTCGAATGACACCTCATTTGTCAAAATCGGTCCAGCCAAAAAAACCCCCTATAAGTCACAATACCCATGCCCGCTTTAAAAATCTAAATTAACGGAGGACAAAGGTTGTTCAAAAATTTAAGAAAATTAGTGATTTTTTTTAAATTCTCCATATAGTGGTGTTGTGATAGTATAATAGCCACTGTAGGCGTCAGTCTATCTGAATTATACTAGCCAGGCTATTCACTGATCTATTCGTATACTCCAGCTCCAATCCCTTTGCCTAGATTGTTAAATTTCAACTTCGGATAAACTGTTATTCTTGTGCACGTCTACATCGACAACCCTCCCCATATCATAATCGGTATTTGATTAAAGCTTTAAATAGTTTTTTTTAAAAATTGTATTGACTAAAATTTGGTTACCAATTAGTAATTTTTATTTAAACCTTTATTTTTAGTGTATCACTTCAATACAAGCATAGGCTTATGATTAGAGCCCGGATTTTTAGGCAAATGCCTGTTTTTTTCCTAGATAGGAAAAAAACAAAGCCTGTTTTTTTCATAGATTTCCTAGATAGTAGCTCTCCAAATGATGACGCGCCGTTCCTCTATGTTTTTTGTTCCTCCATTTGGCAGAACCCCAAAGACGCTCAATTTTTTGTGTATTCGCTCCGGTTTTCGGGTCGACAAAATGGTACCGGTGATTTACAGTGAAATGTGAAAATCCAGCTTCTTCAAGTTCTTCATGCTTGTAACCTTTCCAGCTGTCTGAAAAAATAATAGTCCCAGGGCTTATATGTTTTTCAATCTCTGCCATTAGCATTTTTGCAGAGCGATCTCCATTTTGTCGACCCGAAAACCGGAGCGAATACACAAAAAATTGAGCGTCTTTGGGGTTCTGCCAAATGGAGGAACAAAAAACATAGAGGAACGGCGCGTCATCATTTGGAGAGCTACTTAGCGGAATTTATGTGTAGGCAAGAAGCTAAGGAAGAAAATTTTTTCGAATGGATTTGTAAAAAAATAGCAGAAATATGGTCTCCGAAATAATTTCTAAAATTGTCTTATTTTTGCTTTTATATTTTTATATAAACGAATATTTGTCTGTTGTTTTTACTTACCATTTCTAATCTTTATGAGAGGAGAAAGAAGGAAAAGAAAATAAGTGCGGACATACGTTTGCGGACATGGTGGTATATAAACGCAGAGTACCTAATATTCTATCCTTTTCGCCTAAATTGTCTGCTAAGTTGTATACCTATTCTACCGTATTTCCCAAATAGAATGCCCGGACATTCTATTATCCAATTACTTTCCAAAGATCACCTTCCAAGAGGAGTAACGTATTGTCTAATTGAACGGCATTATCCAAAAGAACGCCCTTTTGGAAGGAAAGTGAAGAATCGGGCGGCATAGTTTTTAAAATTTCCATCTTTGTTTAATGAAAAATTAAGAAATAATTATTCAATAAAATGTGGATATAAAATCAACGCTGTATTTATTTACATGTATTTGAAAATTATCATATGCTTAAGGACAGCCAATTTAACAAATATACATTTAAATAAATATTGATTCTACTGCTTTATTGAATAATTATATTTTCAATAATTTTTTGAAAATTCTAACAGCATATTAAAAAAATTATCTTGCGACAGTTTCCGGTGACAGATATTGATATATTGTGTTTAAATAAAATCAACGACAGTCGCTTTGCAATTTACATTCTTAGTCGCTGATTTTATGTAGCCGCGCGTTTCTTGCAATTTTTAGTAACTGTAGCTAAGTTGTTATAACGACTAAAATACATTTAAGTTTCGAATACATATGTTCTAAAACTTTACATCTTTGATTAGGGAAAGCTAAAGCACAAATATTGTTGCAAATTGTATTTATTATGCATATAAGTTGAGGGTGTTTTTAATCTCCTTCTGGAGGTATTTTAGTTGGACAGAGTATTGTTGTTAAATTTTCTGTTAGAATTTAATAAAAAGGAAAGGCTGTTCAACAACTTTAAATTATAGTGGATAACTTTATCAAAATCTTTCGCAATTCTGTCGAGTTACACTCTTGTGAAGGCAAAAATTCGATAAATTTTTTATAAATTTCTCCATTTTTAAAATACACATGATTTACAAAACGCGAGCATATTTGTTAAACACGCCTCTTAAAGTACATATTTGAAAGCTGTATTTAATACCGGCACTATACACCCATTTTCATTCATAAAATTTACTCATTTCTCCCTTCCTACATAAAATAAAATTTTCTCCTTTTTGAATTTAAATATCAAAAAAGAAATAAAGATTTTTCTTTGTTTTTTCCTTTTATTTTATTTGATAAACATTCTTCAATGGCAATCCGGCTGATCACTCTCTTGGTTGATCACTCTCAATCACTCTCCCGGAAAATTGAATAACTTAAGGGTGATAAACATTTTTCAATTTGATATCAGTTTTAGATAAGATTCGGTTTACGTTTAGTGATCAAAATTTCATTTTCCAATATTCCGTTTTTTAATTGGTGAACAAAATTCCAAAAAAATTGCTGACCAAATTTCCGAAAAATTTTGGTGACCAAAATTCCGTGTCATAAATTCCGGTACCCACACCAAAACTGTTATTCAAGCGAAAGTTATGTTAGTTCAAGCGAAAGTGAAGTTTAGGTATTATAATTGATAATAAACTAAAATTCGACACACATATAAATAAAATAATTAGATATATTTTTTTAAATAATTAGATATTTCACCAATCAATTCAAGAATTGGTGAAAACAACAAAAAGAAATTTCTTAGTATAAATAAAAATAAAAGCCTTTTACTGTCATTTTACCACAAATTTAGACTTTTTTATATAATTGTTTTTCAACGATGTAATTGGACCCCCTTTCGTTGAAATTGTTTTTTTCTTAAATAAATAAGTAAAGATATATAAAAAAAGTGATGTTTAATCAAAGAAATTAGCGATGGATATCCCAGATTAGGAGCATCAAATCCGTCTATTTTTAAAAAACACTATCCATATCCGTCCGTATCCGGATATATCCGCGGATATCCGGATATTATCCTTTTCCTTAGCCAAGCCTGTTAATATTTGTATTTGATTTATTATGAAAATTTTTGATGCATCTATTTAATATAAGAAAAATTTCAGCGAAAAAGCTTGAAGTTGATTATTTTAAAAATTTTGAAACATTTAAAATTCATAGAGAAAAATGAATTTTTTCATTCTTCTTATGATAATATTTCTTCTTTTGATAACCCAACTTCAATTAACCAATGCAATGTTTCATCAAGAAGGTTTTTATTCTAAATTATGTTTATATTAAATTAAAATTTTATAGGAGAAATTTCAAGCTCTAGAGGAAAACAGGTTCAAATGCATTCAAGTCCCCAACCTTCTACCGAGTCTGGAATTCATTTTTCACTCGTTGAGTTGTCAATTTTAATTCGCGTTTTGCGCTTTATTGACATTGAAACGATCAAAGGTTTCACAGACCCAACAATTGATTTAAAGAATATTATTGAATGGTATTGCGACAATGACTTTAATACTTTACAAATGGACAATAAAGATTCAATCGGACGTATTTATGTTCAATTGAAAACTAAGTTGACACAGGTGGATTCTATTCGTATCTTTAATAAATTTTAATCTTTCTGCGTTCATCCCCACGAACAATTAAAAAAGCTCCAAACATATAAAAGCATTTTGAAATTTCAAAACAATCAGAAATTCAAAACAAAACCTTAAAAGCATCCTTTCAGATGTTCAACATAAAATGTTATGACGATTTGTTCATATTTGAGCTAAATAACACCATTTTGGGCTACTTTCCCCCATATTGGGCTTTTCAAGCCGAAACTTGCACATTAAAGCCATTGTTCTCTTTCTAATCATATCAATATTAACCATTTTCTACCTGAGTGTTTGTTAGTATTTTTAAGATTCACCCAATATCGGCTTTTTTGCAATCAGCTTTATAAGCTAATTAATTTTCTTGATTGTATAAGAATTAATAATATTTTTAAGGTTTTTGAGCAATATAATCAGTATTTCCCGTATCATGTAATATGGGATGCAAACAAATCATTACGATTTAGAAATTCAATTATTGCCGAAGGATTGAAAGAATATAGTTCAAAAATGGAAATAAATGAATTTAATGATTTTATGAGGGCAAGGGGAATTTTGCCCCGAAATTGGGCGAATATGGATCATCAAACTTTGTTAAATAAATCTATTGACAAAACGGCAATCTTAAAGTGAATAATTCTATATTTTTAATAAATTTAATAGTCTGGAGCATTTTAGGACAGTAGATAAGGAAGACTAATTTTCGTGCCCGCTCAACTCATCTAATCCTTAACTCATCCACACGCCCAAAAACGCTCAACTCATCTAAACGGCTAAAATTCCTTAACTCATCCACACGGCCAAAAACGCTCAACTCATCCAATCCTCAACTCATCTAATGCTTAACTCATCTACACGGCCAAAAACGCTCAACTCATCCAATCCTCAACTCATCTAATGCTTAACTCATCTACACGGCCAAAAACGCTCAACTCATCCAATCCTTTGGAACGAGACTATTGAGTACCAGTCGTTTGAGTCCATGACAAGTTGAGTCCCTGGCCGTCTGAGTTCATGACCAGTTGAGTCCCTCGCCGTCTGAGTTCATGACAAGTTGAGTCCCTGGCCGTCTGAGTTCATGACCAGTTGAGTCCCTGGCCGTCTGAGTTCATGACCAGTTGAGTCCCTGGCCGTCTGAGTTCATGACCAGTTGAGTCCCTGGCCGTCTGAGTCCATGACCAGTTGAGTCTCTAGCCGGTTAAGTCCCTGGTCAGTTGAGTCCCGGCCGTTTGAGTGGTTGATTACCGCCGGTTGAGTCTTGGGCCGGTTGAGACTCAACTGACCAGGGACTCAACCGGCTAGGGACTCAACCGGCCGATATTTCAAGGATTGGATGAGTTGAGCGTTTTTGGGCGTGTGGATGAGTTAAGCATTAGATAAGTTGAGGATTGGATGAGTTGAGCGTTTTTGGGCGTGTGGATGAGTTAAGCATTAGATAAGTTGAGGATTGGATGAGTTGAGCGTTTTTGGGCGTGTGGATGAGTTAAGTGTTAGATGAGTTAAGGATTGGATGAGTTGTAGGGTAGCCCTAATTTTTTGTTTTGACAAACAAAATCCACTCAGACATGACCAAGACCTTGTCAAAGTTAACTTTTAATAATGAAAAGTCTAAATATCGATGAATCATCGCTAATATATTTTTAATTTCATTTTTATTACACTTTGATCTTTTCATTCCTCATGCTCTTTATCATATAAATTTCTAATATTTATGAATAGTCTGGAGCATTTTGTGATGTGCATGCAGGTGGGCAACTCTAGCGCTGAGAGCTAAGTAGAGAACCTCCTGCATTTTTCGCTGTAAAGTGGGGGCACTAACCAACTAGGCCATAATCACGCACTGAAAGGCGAGTTACAATCTGCCTATTTTAAGTTGCAGTGGTAGACAGGCTAGAATGCTGATATCGCTGGGTAAGAGTTAAAATAAATTTCTTAATTAGCGCCACAGGCGAAAATTTTTCATTTTTGGATATTTAGGGAGCTAGATTTGGCGAAAATCTCAGAATTTTATTTAAAATTTACTCAAACTTGGACCCGGGCCGGGCCCGTGTTATTAAACTGAGGGTTTTTTTAACAAACGGTGGTTATTTTATTTTTTTCTCAAGTGAAACACACCAAAGAAATCTGTACAACGAGTGTAAGAAATTATTGCAAAATACATACAATGCCAAAAGAAATATTTACCTTCTTTGGCAATTTTTTGCCCTAGCTCGTATGCTCATTCGACAATTTATACAAAACAGCAATCCTGACTACGGCAATTTATTGAAAGAGTTTAAAGCAAATAATTTGTATGTTTTTGTGTTTTTAATTAAAATTGTTTTTATCTAATAATTTAAAGACATGTTTCGAAAGTAAATTATCTTAACGATTATGATTTTCTTGAAATAAAAGCTAACTATTGGATGATTCAATTTTCACAAATGTTGAATGTTGAACAAATATTGAATAATCTTGGACTTGGATTTACTGTTAAAAACATTTAAATACTGTTGGGTGTAAACCAGAGATGGGGAAAAAGTTAGAGGTGTCGGAAATCGGAAGAGCCGGAAATCGGAACTGGCTCAAAAGTCGGAAATCGGAAATCAAAATTTTTTGGAAATCGAAATTCAGACCCACCTCTGGTGTAAACGTTAAACTTTTATTCTACATAGGGTTACTACAATATCAGATACGGTATTGCGGATATAACAAAAGTGGATTTACAATTTTTAATAATTATCGAAATAAGGTTAAGTTTTTTAGTTCTGAAGATAGTCCTTAATTTATTTTAAATAAGCATTTGTTGTCAGTTATCATCCAGAATAGTCATATCAGCAATTGTCATCAGCAATTGTCATATAGTATATTCTTACCGCCTCTAATTAACTGCATTATTATTTTTTTATTATTTTGTTTTAGCTCTACCAGTAATGTGGTTGAATTTCGTGGAAAATCAAGGTTATTTGTGTATTCTATCGGTTGATCAGACAATTGAAAATGTTGGTAATTATAAGATTTTGATGGACATGATTTATTTAAAATTAGGTATTTATATTAATTTCTATAAAGTACTAGTAATTTTCAATAATAATTTTCACTAAATTTCACTGAAAAAATTTTGATAATTTCAGTTCTAATTTAAGTCATATAATCAGACACGATAAATTTTTAGTTGGTTTTTAATTAAAAATTGTTTAGATACATTAATTTTTAATTTAATAGTTTGGCTAAAAATGAAAATTATTATCGCTTGGGTGAATTAAAATAACGTTTCCGCAGGAAATAATTTTATTTGGGACTTTAATGTCGTATAAAATTTTCCGTCATTTTAGTGTTAACAGTGCTAAAAGAATGACTGACAGTAAAAATGGGAAATTAATCTGAGACTCAAATAGAGGCGCGGGTATTAAAAATAATTTATTTCCCTATTTTATGCGGAACGGGCCACTAGAGTGCCGCCACTAGAGTGCTGCCACTAGAGAGCGGGCACTAGAGAGCTGAGCCACTAGAGAGCGAGCCACTAGAGTGCCAATAGATTAAAAAGTGCCGGGCACATCCCTAGTTGTTGGAACAAGGTCATCTATGTTGGAACAACTTTCCCGACGCTAGACCAAGATTTTCCATTGTTGGAACAAAATCCCCATCAATGCCCCATCATCTTAACAAATGGAACAACTAGCCCCGTTGCCGATACAACTTTTTCCATTGCTGGAACAGCTTGCCCCGTTAGAAGAACAACCTCAGCTGTCATTGGAACAACCTTCCCCGACATTTGAACAATCTCCCCCGTCATTGGAACAACCTCCCACGTCATTTGAACAAACTCCCCCGTCATTTGAATAACCTCCCACGTTATTGGAACAAGCTTCCCCGTTATTGGAACAAGCTTTCCCGTCATTGGAGCAACCTTCCTCTGTAGTTGGAACAACAGTAGGCTGTGATTAGAACATTGTTATTTCTTAAAAACATTTTTAGGTTTTATACTATTGGCACTCTAGTGGCCCGCTCTCTAGTGGCTCGCTCTCTAGCGGCTCAGCTCTCTAGTGCCCGCTCTCTAGTGGCAGCACTCTAGTGGCGGCACTCTAGTGACCCCAACCGTATTTTATGAGTTATGGTTTTGTTTTATTAATATCCCGGCCCTATTTGAGTCTCAGATTAATTTTCCTTTTTTACTGTCAATCATTCTTTCCCTCACAAATTTTAAGTTAAGTTAGAAGGCCTTTCTAATTTTTCTCTCTCTAACTTGCCTTTTAATTAAAATTTATAAGGGAAGTAATGATTCACAGCAAAAAAGGAAAATTAATCTGAGACTCAAATAGGGGTAGGGGCGGGGGTTCATACTTATCCAATCGAGCTGATTTTCGTGTCGTCAACTCAGCTCGTCGAGCCCTTTCGAATGAGCTTTTATTTGTATATTCGAATTTTTCACCCCAAAAAACAGCTTACTCCCCCCTATGGTTCCCGGATTTTCAAGGGTCTGAAAATTCGGAAAAATGCGTAAATGGACCATTTTAGTACTTTATACTGATATTTTACCTTCTCACACGTTTTTTGACAAGAAAAACATAAGTTCTGTTGTGTTCACCGAAGTCTTACCAAATTCCGCATAGATAAATATAATAACATAAATAATAACATATATACATAAATAACCTATTCTTTATAAAATTTCTTCAAAATTCTAAGGTATTCATTGGAAATAATATCTAATAAAGTTATTAAATTTAGTTGTTAGCCCTACTTTACTTGGACGTGCATGTCAAGGATTTAAATTGAAATACAAACAACTGGATAGTTTCCAAAACTTTCATGTTTTGTATGATAGTTTGGAGAATATGCAAAAATTAGCAATCGAGCAAGGCATAATCGACTCGTTATTAACAGAAGAATTTTCTGAGACACAAATCGAATACACTGAAGAATATGTAGATATTACCATACCATTCGTTCTGCCACAGAAGCACACCAGTCTTGTTGAGAAGGCAAGTTAATGAAATGAAAAATTTTTAATTACCAAGTTTATTTAAATTTAAAAG